TTCAAAATATAGTTGTTATATGTACACGATTATAATTTCAGTTTTTTAGAACCTATCGAAGATGTTGAGAGAGTTTTGGACAAGTGGTAAGTCTGGTTGTATTTCTTCAGAACTCTTGATATGTGATCAGTGATGTTTTCAATATAACGGAGGACAACAATAGCAAGTGCGGGATTGCTTTCGGTTTCATTAATATCTTTAATGTGGAGATTATTAGAGAGAAGAGCAGAGGTAACGTGTTTTAATTCTGTTTTCATTGACTCGGGCTGAGATAGTTTTACGGGTCTGTAAACAAGAGAGTTGATAACCGATGATTTTTGGGCCGGATGGTGATGTGACTAACTGTGGTATCGGTCTGTATGCGTAGGTTTTCTGTAAACACAGTGACCCAATGTTAGGTCTGAATTTCTATAGATAAGGATATCACTCAATGGTAAAATGTATATTAGGGTGTATAGAGTTTAAATGTCTAAGAAAATCTACTAGGGTTTCTTGACCATGAGGCCAAATAACAAAAGTATCATCGACGTAGCGTTTCCATAATTTCGGTTTTAGATGAAAGGTGTAGAGAGCTTTCTTCTCAAAGGCTTCCATAAATATATTCTCGATGACTGGTGATAGTGGAGAACCCACAGCTGTTCCCGACGTTTTTTCAAAAATTTGTACGTACTTTTAAAAGGCGAATCTAAAAGCATTGTTGCGCCGCGAGTTTATAGACTTAGTTGTTAAAGACGTATTAATAAACAAAACACGAATTTTGATAATTAAAGGCGCGATAAGGACAAATTCTTATGTCGAGATGCGACTGTGAATGCTTGTGAAGTATTGTGCGCGTAATATTGCCGAATTTACTTTGTCACAAACAACCCGGGCGACTTAATCAATTCCCCAGACAACACAAGAAAACCCTACATAATTATTATAAACAGTTGATAGTGACATTACATATATTCAATCTAGAAACAATGCTGTTTGAGAAAACGTACATGATAGAAAAAGTTTATTGGAAATGTATTACAGGTTAATTGAACTTCTTACTCACGTTGTATAATAATTAGAGTTGTTGAAAACGTATTTTAGACATTTAAATGTCACAAAATTTTACATTTTCAATAATTTCTACTATGAAAATAAACAAAAACCTAAAATCACTAATAACAACGCAATTACAATGGCGTTTTACGGAACCGTAATTCAGGGATTTAATGGAATTTTGCAACGGTTCATGTTCCCGAGGCATAATATCCCTAAGACAAATAATACGTTTTTTTATGCCGTTGCAAAACTCATTCGCCCACAACAAACGAATCTCTTTCCACTTTTTTCCATAACATTATTTCGCCGCCGCATTTTCTAATGGAAACCAGCACGCTATTTCATTTGTTCAACCCTTTTTTTTTTCCTAACCAATTTCACTTAATTACTTAACATTCATCTAATGCATTGCGGAACATTTTAAAAATGCATTACGCGGAAAAGAAAAAATACCCATAATTCGCGCGTTGGGTGTCTCCAAGAGTCCATTAAAGGTATGCAAAAATTGCTTGAAAGGTGATTTTTCAAACCGTAATTAAACAAGGGCGGGGAAAGGGGACGAAAAACGCCAAGCGAAGCAAGAAAACCCATGCAAGGCTGAAATTAAAAAGGGACCTAAAGGAAAGCTCGATCTATTAAAAATCTTCATCGTGTGAAAGGAAAGGGGTCGCTGCCATTTCCGAGGGTCGGACAGATTGGATATACAGAGTGCTTCAACAACGCGCAATACTAATATAGCTCACATATAAAAATAGTTTTAATTATACAAGGTGAGTCAAAAATATTATCAAATTAGATAACACGACAGAGACAGATTTTTACAACTTTCTGGTTGTTATTTAAAAAACTTCTGGATTCCTCCAGTAATTGATAAATCGAACTTACTGACGTTTCACCAATCATCCTGTTAGCTGCTTCAGAGCATAACTCAAACTGGCTTAAATTCTACTCTGTACCTGCTTATATTTTGTTTGAGGAGGGCGGAGCTAAAGGACATTGTCTCGGATGACTATCTGTCTCTCCATCTTAAAATTGCTTCCATCTTGTCTCCATCTGAGTTCGATACCCTTTCAAACATGATTCATGACTAAGCTTCGTTTATCTTCTACCCAGAATCAAATTCAACGTCAACGCTAGTGAAATCATCAAACTCTTCTCAACTATTATTATGAAATGAAATTCGATTTGAAACCGCAAAAAAATCAAAACCTCTTAAATCTAATATTCCAAAGCCTGAACGCATTGCTCTAAAATCTCTAAAATCTAATCCAGACCTCGTATTCTAAAAGCAGATAAAGGTGATCATGAACACAAACGAATATCAGGAAAAGGTTCAAAATATTCGCACAGACTGATCATATCGTCAACATAAAAAATATCCTACTTCATTTTTTTTTCATATTATGTAATAGATGGGAAACATTAATTAATTAATTAATCTGCGTTATGTTCAAAGATAGTTGTAAAGTTTTTGAACTTAGTATATCTTGAATTTAAGTGTTTATTATTATTATTATTATTCGTAGATAATTCACAACATTCCATGCACATGCGGCAAAGGATACATTGGAGAAACTGGACGAAAAATCTGAACTAGGCTCATAGATCATGAAAGAACCTTAAGACTACGATAAATAAATTCTTCTACCAAACGAAAAATCTGAGAATGCGAGTAGAATGCGAGCCAATTTCGGTTAAGCTCTGAAGAAGTCAAAAGAATTATTGGCGAAACGCCAGCAAGCTGAATTCATCAACAACCGACACAGGAAGAATCTAGAAGTTTTATAAATAGTAATATGGTAGCCTACGCATGTTTCTTTGAAAAGCTTTTTGGTTCAATCTTTTTTCCCGTGTACGAATCACCTTAGCCGTACGTTTTATTGACACCCTGTATTTTTTAACTCTCGCCTTGGTCGTGAATCAATTGCTTATTTTTTTTTTAATTCCTGAAAATGTATTTAAAACGCAAATACCTAAATATTTAAACTACGTTTGTTTAGAACGATATATTCAAATAGCGCAAACTTCTTCAATGTTATCCGTTCGAATCTTAGCAAACGCTTGACATCGCGCGTCATTGAATATTACTTAGAAAAATTTCTGGCTGAAAACAACTTCCGCAAATGTCAAACGAATGCGTTCGTAATCGAATACCAGTGGAAAAGATTAATTGGGTTTGCCTACTAATTTCAAACAGGTATTCCTTGGAGAGAAGAGCAAAAAAATAATACATCAATTCTACAACATTCTCTTTTTTATTATTATTATCTAGTGTTAAATTATCTAGCTTGCCTCATAGGAGCAGCAAAATCACTCGTGTGGGATACTTGTAAGTATAGAGAAATTAGACTAGCATTTATTTATTTTATTATCTCACATCTTCTCACACTTTTTGCACTTATATTGAATAATATAACAAATATAATAAACAATTATTAATTTAAGGAGCTTTATAAACAAAAAACGTTGAGTTAGCCAAAAGATATTCTAAAAAGCGTAACTGATATTTTTCAACATCACAAACCTCACCAAGAAAAAATATCTTCTCAATGCGGTTCAACTATTTTCTTGACTGTTGATTAGCGTCAATTAATGACACTTATTTGATTGAAGCTCATCTATTCTCGTCAAAATAGATTTTCCCAAGGTATTATTTTTTTCACCTTTCCAGCGACAATTTCATAATCTTAAATCAAGGCAAATATTTTTGTAAAATTAGTTCACTGCAAGATTATTATTCATTGGTTTGCATTTATTTATGTTATGCGATATCAACTAATAAATATTTTTTCTTATCTTAGATCAAGATAATCAATTCTGAATAAATCCTAGGCTCAGGACATATGTTCATAAACTGGAAAATATTAGAAGACTAAAACCCAGGATTTGGTGGATTTTTGTTAAGATAATATTCTCATTGGGCCATATCCTATCTATATTTACCGAAGTAATGATAACCTGTGGATCAACTAATCAATATTCTTTCTTTTGATAAATAAAGATAATGATTCCTGAATAAATCTTAGACTCAAAACATATATCCTTATAATTGGAAAATAATAATAGACTAAAACCAAGGATTTGCTAGATTTTTGTAAAGATAATATCAATTTGGCCATATGCTATCCATATTAACAGAAGTAATTATTACATATAGATTAACTAACCAATATTATTTGTTATCTTAGATGAACATAGTGATTTAAAAGTGAATCTTAGTCGCAGGACTCATGTCCTTATGATTGGAATATATTAATAAACTAAAGGATTTAATAGATTTTTGTTAAAATATTAATCATAAGGCCACATCCTATTTACAGTAGCCGAAGTAATGATTACCTTTAGATCCACTAATCAATATAAGAAGGATCTTATCTTACATCAAGATAATATATTACTGACTAAAGACATATGTCACTATGATTGGAAAACAATGGACTAAAACCAAGGATTTGCTAGATTTTTGTTGAGATAATATTCATTTGGGCCATATCGTATCTATACCAACCAAAGCAGTGGTTCCCTTTAAGGTACCTAATCAATATTTTTTCTTATTTTAGATCAATATAATAGATTAGATAGATTAACACCAAGAACTTATCCAAAGACATGGCGGCATTGGTTTATAGGCGTTTTACTTTACGTTGAGATATTCGTTGTATCTGCGAACAACCAATTAAAATGTTTTTAAGTAAAAGCTGCCAATTATTGGAGCAATACTGTAGCATTGTCTTAGATTAGTCAAACTTTTATCTAGAGTGATTGATCATCGATGATTTTTGTCAGTATTCCAAAATTTTTTTGGGGGAATTATTATGCCTAAAACAGGTATATTAATTATCTTACCAAAATAAAATATTATTTAAACGATTTAATTTTATTATATTAGCGAGACCAAAATAGAATATTTTGCTTTTTATCGCTCCACATTTGAATGAAATAAATTACAGACAGAACCTACTCACCTTAAATTATCTTTTGATATCTATTACAGGTTTCCGTTGAAAACGATTCCGCATTGCGGTGCCCCAGGAAAACACCTGTAATAAAACAATTCAAATTCAAAAATCGTATATCATTTATATTTACCGGACCTACATTATCAATCAGAAGTTCATTTTTAACCTGCACCGGGTATCGAGCTATTTTTCAATCTTATCTTTGCAAAAGTAACACGTCTAAATTATTTTTTTCCGTGAGAAAATCCAATTAGCCACTTTTTAAATGCACATATTAGATTTAACAGTGAAAAAAATTAAGCGAACATTGTACCAATTATCTTTGTTTCCAATCGCTTTTCTAATTTTAATGGCCTTCATCGTTTCGCTACGAATTTAAGCTAATTTAAAATCGATGGATACGTTTATAATAACTTTCCGAGTTGTGTGTGTGCGGAACTTACGAAGCACGCAATCCGTTTCCAGCTTAAAGGAAACACTTTTCCGCGCCGTTTTTGGTTTTGGTTTTTGGTGATTCTCGACGAAAGTTTAATCTCTTGTTTAACAACGCGAAATGTTAATCAAACATCGAAGCAAATATCCATTTTGGTTCCAGCACGTAATTTCCCACGAAATGACCTTTACTACTGGAATAATACAGGGTGCCTCTAAAAAATATGGATGGCAAAATATTACGACCTAACCCGGATGATTTCTGATATACAGAGTGTCAAAAGCTCAATTTTACGACAAAGGTTCTTATTCTCCATATCTAAAAAGGTAAAGTTTAAAATTTTTACTCAATCTCAAGTAAAAATAAAACCAAACGGCTTTTAAAGTCCACTCCTGCCAGATATACGTCTTTTAGCTAAAAGACATTGGGGAATATCAAATTCACTGTGTCGCCAAAGAGTTTTTACAAAAATTATTTACAAAAACAACAACTTTTGACACTGTATGTCGGATTAAAAAACAAATAAATTTTCTGTATATGTCAATAATTATTACATGTAGTGGTTAACAGGCACGGAATTGGGAGCTAATATCAGCAGGCTTCGAGAAGTATTACTTTTGACCAAAATAATCAAAATCATTTTAAGTATCTGATAAAACACAATAGTTAACATTTCCATAAAACATACTTCGGTATCTCAGTTCTTGGTTCAAAGATTTATTTAATTTTTATAAACAGGGCAAAATCAATGTATCTTAGTGGTAAAATGGTAATGTAATTCAATACTCACTAAATTCGTTTTATATTAATTTTATTTGTTTATTATAAATAAAGTCCAATTTGAAACAAGCTTTTGCAATTTTACTAGAAAGCTCAAAATAACGCGGCACTTTTTAGAGACAAATATGAAGGATATATTTTTCGCCTTATTCATATTGTCGCTTAAAACGGAAACACGTTCATTATTCATTAAAGTCGACAACATTCCACGGAAATATCTTGCAAACTAACCAAAACTAGAGACGCGGGCGTAACAGGTTACTGAGACGAAGACTTCTATTCAAAACTACCGTTTTCTTTGATACGGCGCGCATACATAGGAAAATATTCAATGTGTACTGACTGGAAAGTGAGCAGCTTAATTCAAAAACATCAACGGTTCAGAAATGGCAACGAGCATTTATTCAATATATGTGGTTAATATCCGCAAAGGTGACTGCACTTTTTGTATGTAGGTTTATCTGAAGCACCTTCTGCGACCTAAAACCCCAAATAAAAATGCATTTTGAAATTCAATCCAAAAAACAATTTTCGGATTGAATAAATAAACACGGGCTATTTCACAGTACAAAATAAATGCACGAACAGAAAAGCGAAATTGTTTAAAAATAGAAAGGCTGTAAAACAACACAGATATTTCCTTTAACGGTTTTTTTAACAATGGCCACAAAAAATTGGGAACGCCCTCTATAAGCTTAAATTCCAATCCGGACAAGATTATAAATTTGAAAAGCTAAAACTTTAAGCGATTATTTTTGTTTACGCCCGCAAACAAATTATATTTTTACGGATATTCGGATTAAGCTTAAATAGAATGTTAAACAGTTTTTTATAAAAACCATAACTCTATTAATTGTTATTAACAAAGGAGAAGTGAACATATGCAGCTAATGGAATTTAATCTGCACGGGAAAAATTACAATTTATTTTAATTTATGAGAAATTCTAGCGGATTAAAAATGAATTCGCATTTTTAATTCCCATAAAAAGATTGAGTCGAACGGCAGCAATTAAAACTTTAAGAACATACAATAGTTTTGCGAATAAAACAAACGAATTAGTGAAAGACGAAGTTTAATGATATCCCGTAAGGTACCGAATTATAAAAGGATTTTAAAGACTATCTCCCAAACGCTTTTCTTAAATTGACGCAGTTAGAAGAAATTAATTTGCATCACTTAAAATCGGTTCCGGTGCTAGTTTCCCAAGTAAAACTGTTTAATTTAGTAGTGGTTGGTTTTGACAAAAATTTAACAGCAGTCTGAAAACGGTAACTCACCATTTTGGCAAATTTCGTTGAAAAAGAAAAAGCAGGAGTATCAGTGACCACAGAACACGGATAACCGCCATGGCCCCAATACAACGACTGGCTGGAATTTTTTTTTAACAAATTATATATCTTGAAACCAAACAATGGAGAATATACTCAAAGGAAAGTAAGAGAAAATGTCTCAGCAGCGAATCGAATGAATGAAATTTCTATTGCAATTAAAATATGCACTTTTATTTAAAAATTGAAAACAATATTGTACAAAGGTAATTATAATAGTCAAAGTGTAGTTTGCACCTGTTTCCCAATGCCGAGACGAAAAATAAAACCCTAAATATAGCAAAACGGAAAAAAGTTCCTTCGCACTGAAGAATCAATCATGCTGCTCTCAGGGTGTTGACAGCAACACCGGTTTTACACAGAGAAAAATACGACTGACTTAATGACATGCAAAAAATATCCGTGAACAATATGACACGTGATTATGAACGATCCTTTGTACCCTGCGCTATAAAAAAATACTAAAGAAGGAGAAAACACAACATATCACAAGCAATTTAAAGAAAAGTCTAAAATTTTGCTCAGCATACACTTAATATACGTTTATCTAGGAAACTAAAAAGCTAAAATGCTTAGACTTTGTTCTGGGATTTGATGCAAACCCTAAATTCCCATTATCCTTCTCTTAAGGATTAAGGTTTAGTGCGTTAGATGGAGAAGTCCTGGTTATATTAATTAAAACTGCAGCAAATCTTCTGCTAAATTTGTAGCTACCCTACCTTTTGCATGCTTGCAAATATAACATAATAATAATACGTTTAACAAAACTAGAAATTAATACATATCGAAAATTAATTTGGTAAATAAGAAAAGTCATGGTTGTGCACTTACTAAACATACTAGTTTTTCAAAGAAACTTCCACAGGCTATAGTAATACTTTTCTTAAAACTTCAGGAACAGTTTCAATCAAGCTCTGAAGAAGCCAACAGGATGATTGGCGAAACGTTAACTAGTTCGAGCCAACAAAAACCGACGCAATAGGAATCCAGAAGTTTTATAAAAACCTAACAATAATTCTAATTAAAGTTAATTGCATTATCCCTATGTTCCCTATGATAATTTTCTATTCTCTGTTTCAGCTTAATTTTTCCTTTACAAACATTTTTTACTAGTTGTAAATAATAAAACTGCCGAATATCCAATACTTTCTGTCTCTTGGAAAATTAAGTCTGTTGTACAGTTTCTTCTTTTACCATATATTATTTCCAAGAACCATTTTTGCGTATTACTCAGAGCCTTTAAATGTGAGTAAACTATTCCACCCCATCCTAAAATCCCATACTGTAGATGATAGACATAAAGCAGTTGATATCTTTCTAGACATTCTTCAAGATATCTAAATTTAGGCAGCAATCCCCGCATTTATTCTAAGCCATTTTTTATTTATAAATCCCCTTTCATATGGTAAGTATTTAATATGATCTATTTCGGGAATTTTTTTGGTATTGTTTATATTTAAAAATACCAAATTTTGTCTTTTTATAGGTTGTTGTGTTTTTATAATTCAGAGCTAATTTAAATTTTATGATTTTGAAATCTTTTACTCGTTACTCGTTATTTTACCAACATTTTTGAATTCTAACGAGTCACAAGTAAATGACATAATACTGCGTTGACTCTTGTCAAAAGCATCTGTTAGGTTTGAAGCGAAATTTAATATCCTGTGTTGACTTTCCTTCTCCAAAGGAGTATTGAGCGTCTGATCATTAATAATTATCATTAAAATCGACATTGTGTTTTGAAATTTTTGATTTTACGATCTCGAAGAAGATCAGTGTGTGGACTGACACCGACTTGTCTGGTTTTCTTTGGAGATGCCATTAGGCGCATACTTTTGAATATAAAATTTTAATTGAATTGACTGTGATTAAAGCATTAACGCAATGCGCCAAAACTAAAAATCTGCGATCGCAATGGCCGCCAATCGGCCTGTGACGCTTGTTAAAAAGGCGAAGCAATAAAAGAACATATAGAAAACAATTACCAAACGAATTGAGGAAACGCTTCTGCGAGGTATAAAGCCAATAACTCCTATCAATTAAATTTTTTTATAGCTATTAAACGTGTTGTACGTCTGATGCTCCTAGAATTTCTTTCAAAACGTAAGCGACATGAAAAATATAGTTATTTTAGATTTCACCGGCGACAAATAGGCTGTCAAAAAAGCCAATTGTCTCTTAAACTACCTACAATCTTTTTAATTAGAGAAATGAAATACCCTGTTGCCAATATATTGTCGAACAAATTCCCAGGTACGGGTACAGTCCGTTGAACCAAGAAAATTTCTAAAAAGTGCGACGAGCGTTTTTAAATTTCCTCCCAAAAGATCAACGACCAGTTTTAAGACAAGTGTATCAAATCGCTGCCACGGACGCTATGTTTATAACTTCTAACAACATTTATCAAATGTTATTAATTCTCGATTACCGCCGACGTTAATAAAAATTATGTTGTTCAATTATATCGGATGCTTACGGTTAATTTTGGTTAGTTACGGCAAAGTAAATGTATCATCGTCTAAAATTGAATTTTGATTC